CTTGCAGAATGGTAATCCAGCCATTATAAGCTTCCTTCTAGGTTCCTGTTTCCTAAAGAGGAGTGAAGAACTAAACTATGCTTTCACATGCGTGGCTCTAAGCTTTCCAAGTAGAAAAGGTGGTATTGTCTGAGAGGGCTGTCGCCTCTACTTCACTAACTTCTGACTGTACGTTAGTGTTTCCATTCCAGATGCCTAGTGTCGAGGAAGGAGCTCTTGGTTGGCATTTGCTGCTTTGAAGAAGTGTCTGGGAGTAATGCATAGTTGCTGAAGTAAGTAGGATAGTACCACTGTGGGAGCGAGTTGCAGGTTTCCCTTTATCTCCGCAGCCTTTAAACTGGGTTTTGCGTGAATTCTTTGGCAGGGCCCCACGTGATACACAATAGCTGTCACTTGTCAGGACTGTGTTATTGGTGTTCTGGCAGCGTTAGGTTGCTGACCTGGGCCTCAAAAGGTTTCTCCTTCCTTTTCTGCTGTTACACTTCAACTTGTGGAGTATTTTGATTATGTTGTTGGGCTTCAGGCTGTGTTTCTGAGGGAATGCTTGTTCTGGGAGGTGGCTTCTCTTGTCTGTCAGACACGAGCATCAGAGAGGTCAGAGTGGGTATGAATATATCAATATCTTTTTTTTGTTTGTTTGTTTCGAGAAGCTGCAAGTGTATCCAAGGATCTTAGGGTGCCTGTGGGCTGTCAGCTTGGCTAGAACCCCAAAAGCTGAAGTCTTTCAGGTGTGAAAGACTGCACCCTTTACACATGGATTGCGTTTTTACCCCCCTTCTCCTTCCTCCTCCATTTTCTTTCACTGCTTAATTTAGGAAAAGCTAGGTGGAGCAAAGACCGTTCCTTCTGAAATTGAAGAAACCATGTCTCTGAAGCAGTTCAAGAAGGGAGGAACCAGTGAAGAGGGCGAGTAAAGAAATACCCTGGCCTTCACAGATAAACTTGTTTGGTGCTCTAAAAATAGTGCCTTGCAAGAACTTCGGCGAAGGGGGGCAGGTTTGGGTGGGCGTGATGCCTTACTGTTGAGAGCTAATCTACAGAGAAAGGAGAAATCTATTTAGAAATTGATAACCTTAGATAAAGAACAATATATAAAATAAAGGGATGCCAGAGATAACTAAGAAGGCAATCCCATTGGGTTTATCCAGCAAGCATTAAGAATTGTGTGAGGTAACTGACAGTGCTTTGTTTTCTCTTGGCTTGCTGCTGTGCTGGGGATGTGAAATGCCACATTAAGGTGTCACTGTTCTTGCAGCAGAGGCTATTTTGAGGGAACAGGCAGGATAACTGTCAAGACTTAAACTGTTCATTGTGTTGTGAAACAGCACAAGGTCTTAACGCACTTCACTGGCATATTTGCTTTTGTTGTAAGTTAATATATGAGGAAAAATGCTGTTTCATTTTCAGGAGAACAAGCTAAACGGAAAAAGTAGTGGGAACAGTAAAGGATTTCAGGCTTTTTCTGAATCTGCAAGATCTGAATTAGTGCAGAGTTGTTCAGTTTTGTTTCTGTTTTTCAGAAAGGGAGAGTGGATACTGTTAAAATCAAGGTGCATCCTTTCATATTAGACATTGAGTTATGTAATAAAAATATTTCAATATAATACAGAATAAACTAATGCAAGCCTAACTGTATTTAAAGTCACTGTGGAAGATGGAAGAAAAGAAGCCATGCTTAGTGTGCGTCATCTTTGTTCTGTAGCTGCTCTGTAAAATGTGCCCAGTGATGTGTGGTCCTAACAAACAAATTTACCTAGTCACTGTTTGACCAGAAAGATCTGTACTGAAGGCATCAAATGTGGAGTTGTCTTCTCAGAAGGAAAGAACTTCCTCAGTGTCCTTTGTAACTGAAAGGGCAGTGCTGTTCCTCCATTTTCTATTTTCTGTAGATAAATATTCATCCTCATGGTATAGCTGATTCAGGTTTCCTGAATCTGTTGGCTTTTTTGACGGAAAACTTATGAAGGTATTTTGGCATTTCATCTTGCTCTGATGTTGTGCAGGAGTGAGGACTTTAAATAATACCAATGGGAAGGTGTTTGAGGTGCTTACTTACATCCTAAAACTAGTTTTCGGTGTTCACGGGCTTATGAACAGTTTGATGCTTGTCATTCTTCACTGTCCCTACTGGTCTCAAGCTCTTCTGAGATTTTGTGGCTTTGGTCTCCTGTAGAGGATTGCAGGTAACATGCTTATTCTCAGATCCGAAGTGACTCTGTGCCCAGTGGCAGTGCTTCGAGCAGAATCTGAACAAAATATGGCTGCATATGCCTCTTCTGAGAAATTACTCTTTTCTCCTTCCAAACTGGTGAGACATGCGATGCAGGGAAACTGTGCGATCAGAGGCATCACGTAGTTAACCTACTGTCAAAAATCAATCTAATTTTAAGACTTTTTTTTTTTTTCCCCCCTGTCTGAACAGAATTATCTGCAACCTGCACTCTGCTCACCTCAGAAGGTCTCAGACTACTGCCTTGCTCTTTGGTTTTCTTCTGCCTCAGTGTCGTAACCTGACAAAACCCTGCTGCCTTGCTGGTACTCCTTGCTGTGTCCTGGCAGATCAGAGCATTAGTGACTGACTCTGTGTGAGCATCTGTTTGATACAGAAGCCGTGCAGCAGGGAATTTGTTAAAGACATACAGCCAAAAAAGCTGATAAGTAAGCATAAAGCTGAAGCATAGTGTTTCTTTTGTCCTGCACTTACACTGACTAGGTCAGAGGCTATGAGGAAGAAGGAACAAGACTGCCAACACTGGGTATGGGTCTGAAAAGTCATACAGTGACAGGATCCTAAAGTAAAAAGCCAAACAAAAACTGAAAGTTCATTAAGAGCTAGATCAAACCAGTGCAAGTTACGGCATGAACGCCTCAGTTTGGGTTTGAACAGCTTCTTAGATCAGGAGTTTTGAGAAACTGCTTGGAATAACGTATTGTTGTAGTTTTATAGTTTAGCTTTGTAATTTTACAGTGTGTTTCAAGCAGGGGAGGGGGAATAATTTGATTTACAGAACTAAAGGCATGGGTTAAAAGCTATACTTGTAAATGGTTGGAAGCCCTTAATTCCACTGTTTAAAGTTGAGGTCTTGCTTGGCTTTAGCCAGACTTTGACCCTGCTTTGCAGAGCCTTCCTACCACTGTTCAATACCAATATCTGAAAGGGAGGAATAACTCTTTCCTTCAACCAAGTGTATACTTGGTTATTGTCATCCTGCCAGAGCTGACAGCTATTTGGCTGACTCTGAAACTTAACTATTCCTAGTGCTTCCAGATGAATAATGCTGTCACTTAGAATAGGCAGTCTGTAAATATTTTGCTAACCATACATTATTAGAAGGTTTGAAGTCTTATTCCTATAGTCTATAAGCAATCCTAGTGTGCTGTCTTGCCGAAGAATAATATGCAATCTAGGCTTTTTGGTGGGAGAGAGGGTGGCAAACTTCATGCTCTTGTGTAGAAGTTTAAGTATGCAAAGCACATTTTTCTTAAAATAAATGGGTCATTCCTCTGTGAAATCCAGTGTGAACAGGCTTTATAAATCAACAGCTGAAAAGGCTGCAGAATGCCACCTATAAAGCAGTGTTTATCTGGCTCTGTTTGATGTGTGGTGGCTGTGTACCTAGTAATGCACTAGTAATTCAGCTGGTAAGTGGATCCTCTAATTGCTCAGAACTGAGACATGAGAAATAGAAAAGTGATTGTTCATCTATCATAACCTTACTAGAAGCTTCGTAGGAATCAAACAGCTTAATTCCTGCTTCTTGGTTGACAATGTCATTTTACAGCATTTTGTGATGTGTAAACAGCATTGATGTGAAGATAATGGCTCCTAAACAACACCTATACAGCTAATAGGTTTGAGTGGGCATTTTTTTTTTCCTAAAACTTTGACAGCAGTGCCTTGTAGGCTTAGACCACAGCAAATTTCCTTGGAGCCTGTCTGCTGTAGGAGTTTAGGAGTTGTTTCTTCATAGGTTAGGGCAATGTAGGAGATTGACTGCTGAAGAAACTGAGCCCAATGACAGATAGGATGGTTTCAGAAAACTGGGAGAAGTCGGGTGTCCAGTCCAGATAGCACAATTAAAAAAAAAAAAAAGCTTGGACAGTCAGCCAAAAGGTGCAGTTGATTAACTCGTCCTAGTACTTACTAATAATGCAGATCATCTACATTTCTTTAGGAAGACTGTCCAGAAATGGTATTCTGTATTTTACTTCAAAACTTTATAGGTTGCAAGGCAATTCCATGTGGGGTGGGAGGTAATGTCCAGACAAGGACTTGCACTTTTTTTTTTTCACCCCCACAAATTTTTCTGTACACAGTTGAAGAACCTGACCAAGAGGAAACAAAGTCTAAATAGATTTAATGGGTTTACAAACTGTATGATAGAACATGTCTCACATCGTTTTCTGTCCCTCTTTTGCTTTGACTTTCTTGAAACTTTCTCTTTATGATCAGTGTCTGCACCTGGCACTTAAGTCATCCATGTAATGTGTGCATTGTTGTGGCTTCTAATCCAATTAGTTTCCTAGCTCTCTCAGTTGCTGTATGAGAAAAGGGTGGTTCACCTGGGAGAAGGAATGCAGACAACAATTACAAGCTAGATGTGACTGCTGGTTCCGAGTTGAAGTGACTGCAAGGACAGGAGAACAGGGGGGTTGTAGCTTCGGGAATCAGCTGTCTGAAGTGTAGAATTCTGCAATGAGCAGTTTTTCTGTTTCAAGTCAATTCTTGTGTGCTGAGCAAAGTGGGGTTTTGATTTTTTTGTGTTTTAATTTTTTTTTTTTTTTTTTAACAAAAGGTGGATGATGAGGAAATGGACTGTTGAGGTGCTGATTCAGTAGGGAATTTCAACTGTTAGGGTTTTTCTGAGTTCTTTGGCTGTGTAATCTGTATTTGGGACTGATTCTTATGTTTCAGGTCAGAAATTGCTGGATTGAAATGTTCTTAAAAATGTTAGTAAACCTAAGTGGCGTACTGGAGAGGTTGTGGTTCTACTGTACAGCATTTACCTACTTGCTTTGGAGTGGAAATCATTCAAGTGTGCAACTGTGAAGGAACGATTCTTTTTTTGACAGCTGTGGCAAGCCCTGTTTTGTGGCAGAAGGACTGCGTGAAGGGTCCAGAGGTATGGTGTCAGAGTGTTCGGACAGCATCGCAGTGTGGAGCGGTGAAACACTGCCAGCAGAATGTCTGGAACAAGCCTACTGTGGTAAGTATCAACTACCGGGACTTCTTCTCACCTGTAGTTGATGTAGCTGGTTTCCATATGCTGATGAAGATTTTTCAAGTCTCTCTCGGAGTTAAGTGCTACATAGTGCCTTGGTTACTATGCCTTAATTCGGGTGCTAGATAAAGGTTGCTTTCCACTTCTCTGCCTTGCGCAACTTGTCTGCTGACTTCTCCTGTGACCTGTTGCACAATCACCGAGCAATGTGTGCAGTGGAGTTAGTGGATTTCAGACTTGTTCCTCTTTATTAAACTGATCCCTCGTTCATAGAGCCTTTTCTTACTCTTAATTTGAGCAATGCCAAGCTGATAGGCTTATTACAAAAAAAGCTGTATGCTTCTTTAGGTCTTTCTCGTAAGTTAATGTTCCACAAAAGATGCAGCATATCCTAAATTATGAAAGCCATGACAGTAAATAATGGTACAAATGTTACGTTTACTGTGGCTTTTCAAGTTGCATTTGTACTAAATGTGAGTGCTGCTTTACTAGATGTAGCTGTAGTTTGTGGTATTGTTTCGCAATTTTCTAGGGGAAAAAGGCATTTTACTTACAGATGCATTCAGTCCACCTTGGCTCTATCTGTGCCGAGGTATGTTTCTGTTTGTGGAAAAGTATGGGAAGGGAGGAATGTCAGAACAGCAGAGCACAACTAAAATGAGTGAAGCTGCCTGAAAAGTTCTTAGATTTCTAGTAAGTGTGTACTCTTTGAAGAGTAAGGTAAAAGAGGTTCAGGAGAAGGCTTCTCGGGGCAATGTACTTTATACTTCAATGAAGGTGGGACTAGGTGAAATGAGCAAGTGGTAGCATGCCTGATTCTTCGTACCGTGTTGAAGAACTGAAGAAGAAACTGGAGCTGGTCTGCTTGGAGTAGCCTTGCTCTTTATTTAAAAAGATCTCTTCCCACCCTAGCTTCAGCCAGTATTTCTTCCTTAACTTCAATTCCAAATGTGATGCTCATTCTTCACATTGTTACTTGCGTGCTGCATTTACAGGTACTTAATTCTGTCTCAAAAAACCTCTCTACTTCCCTCTCCAGAGCAGTATCCCCTGTGACTTGTGTAAGGAACTTGTGACAGTGGCTGGCAAGGTTTTGAAGGATAATGGCACTGAGGTAAGCAGAGCTCCCCTTCTCCTTGCCCCAAGGCATTATTTGATTTCATTGTCTTAACAAGATCACAAGGTGAAGGGGTGGAAGAGTAGTCTGCATGATGTTTTCCAACTTAAGCAGCAGGTGTTGAAAGGGGCCAGAGTACCTGGGAAAAGGCTTTTAAACAGCCTCTCCTGGTTTAGAGATTAGCAAATTCTAGAGCCTCTCATGGTCTAACACATCCCTGATTGGCTGTAGGTGCTTAATAAAATTGTTCTTGTGCCAGTGGGCCATCGATCTTAAAAGGTCGGATACTGCAGTCTCTAGAAGTGGATGATTACACCAAGTGGACTTTATTTTGGTTGTGGGTGCTTCTTCCCTTTTTCTTTTGTGAACCTGGGAGTACTTTGCATAAACAAATCACTGTCCCACTAGTCCATAATTTCACTTCCTCTTCTTAAATGTAAATGTTCTATGCTAGCAAGACTGTGTTGTGGAGGCCTTGCAAGCAGTATTTTGTGTTTTCACTTTGGCAGGGTCTCATCGAAGGTCTAGAACTGGGGAAAATAGACCTATAGTGTAAAATCTCATTCTAGTTCTGCTTGCCAACTGCCTGGACCTGCCTGAGTTCAAGGGGCTTTTTTTAGGCTTGGTGTTGTGCATTTTGGGAATGGAAAGAGCATCTGAGAGAGATACGTATTTCGATGGTCTATAGCCCACTTTATCTTTTGTAGGATGAGATCCGCTCTTACTTGGAAAAGACATGCGAGTTTCTTCCTGACCAAGGCCTGGTCTCTGAGTGCAAAGAAATTGTGGATTCCTACCTACCAGTTATCATGGATATGATCAAAGAAGAGCTAGTAAGTAGATAACAGTTTGCAACTGTTGGAATTAAAAGTCGTGCTCCTGTTGATGCCTGAATTTCTCTTCTATGTAAGATTGTGCATATGATCCTTCAATCCTGTATGGATCACTGGTGTTGAAATTAATGGTGTAAATTTGAAGACTGCTTCCTTGCTGTGAAACGTTTTCCCTTCCTATCATGTTTCGGCTGAATGACTTCATATAAAAGTGCTATCAGTCTAGAGCTTTATGTATGTATCTTATCTCTTCCTAGGATAAACCTGAAGTTGTATGTAGCGCCCTCTCACTGTGCCAGTCCCTTCAGAAGCACCTTGCAGCAACGAAACTTCAGAAACAACTCCAGTCCAATAAGATACCAGAGCTGGATTTCTCTGAACTGGCATCCCCGTTCATGGCTAATGTGCCTCTTCTCCTTTACCCTCAGGACAAACCCAAGCAGAAGTCTAAGGTAAGGGTGCAGTGCTATTCCAGCATGCAAAAGAAGTGCAAGTTTTTTGACGCAGAGCTTCAGTGCTCCTTTGCGTAAGAACTTACGGATGATTCTTGGTAAGGTTGTATTGGGCACAGGTTAAGCTGATGTACTTCACCTGGGTGACTGTCTCCTGTTGAATTTCGTCTTGCTGCGTACAGACAGCAACGTTTTTCCTTAACCTGTGGGTTTAAAGCTAAGCAGCCCCTGTGGACCATATGTGTAATCCTGGATTAACAACCACACTCAAAGACAAATCTTGTGCTGGGCTGTTCCCATCCAGGACTGTAGCAGTCAAGCAGGTCTTACTGGAAACAGTTTCTTCTGAGAGCAAATTTGGCATCAGCGTTCAAAGGAAGAAGAATTCTCCCACATTCTGAGTAATCTGCTAGCTGTGCCCTTCAGGGGAAGCATTCGGCTCTGAATCCAGAGGTGACAGACTGGATCAGAAAAGAACAAATACTTGACAAAGGGGAGTAGATGAGACCATGAACTTGTGAGTAGAGGCTGAGTCTTGATAGCAAGCCTAGATATGGGAGTTAAACAGTTGAGTGGGTGGAGAACAAGCAAGTAAGATCTATGCCAGATTTAGAAACCTTCCCACTGTGGTCTGTAACAAAACCAAGAGATTTTGAAGATTGGGTATCTTAACAGTTATCTCGGGTTTCAGAGCCAAGTAGGTACCTAATCTCCATCTAGTGGCTGGTGCACAGACCAGCAGTAGCTTGTCTATTCGTATTAGATCAGGCTTTTAAGTATTCTATTTTAAGGTTTGTATATAGTTAAAATAGCTTTTGAAATTTGGTAGTAACGGAAGCTTCTAAACAGTGTTATGTGAAGATACGTCAACTTAAGTTTCCTTTCACTCTTTGTCCAGGGAAGTGGGGACGTATGCCAAGATTGCATTCAGCTGGTTACTGATGTTCAGGAAGCTGTGAGGACAAACTCATCTTTTGTAAAGTCTTTGGTTGCTCATGCCAAGGAGGAGTGTGACCGTTTGGGACCTGGAATGTCTGATATGGTAAGCTATCTTTTTTGTTTAAAAATTTGTTCCTGTATACAAACATAAAAGAGCTTGTTCAGTGCCTTAATTCTCTCAATGTAATCTCTATTTAATAGAACAAAGGAGAGTGTGTCACATGTAGGATATGTTACACAGTATGACAATAACAACACTGAAATCACAAACTCTCTGGTCAAGAAAGTTGGGTGGGGTGGCATGTATGGACTGGGGTGGGGGAAAAAGACTCAGGATTGCTGCTAGCCCTTAAAGGCCTTTTTCATAAAAATGATCTGGCAGGGTAATGTGGTCATATCAATGAGGGGGAGTGCTTTTGCCCTGAGAGGAAGAGAAAAGGACTCATCAGATAAGCACCTGTGTGTGCGATGATTGTGTAACCTGAAATGCCATCTTATATTTGGGACAAGCTCTGAAAGACAACAGAATAGTTATTAAGTAGAGCAGGTAAATTAATACCTTGAGATGTATTGGAAAATTAGAGATTAACTCTACAGCTTAAGTGATTTAATATTTACAAGACTTTCTTTTCCCACTTCCTGCAGTGCAAGAACTATATCTCTGAATATTCTGACTTGGCTATCCAAATGATGATGCACATGGTAAGATCAGTAGAATATAATATTTGGTCTCAGTTCATTTTTCTGCTTTGTGTAGCTAACTTATTTGGAAACAGGAAACATTTACTGCAGTAAAAGTCTGGGGAGAGCCCTTGCTCTGTAAGTCTTGGTGTTAACGCTTTGAACTTGGCATTTAATTGGATAGTAACTTCAGTCTCAGAATACTTTCTTTAGCACTTTCCTTCTCTTTCAAAACCACTTCAGCGGTGCAAAAGGCACTCTAATCCTTTGAAACACAGAAGATGCGTTACATAGGTTCATTTATACTCTTTTATCTCAGTCTTGTACTTCTACCACTTCCCCTCTCCCCACCAAATGCTGTGTTAAGCATATTAGAGGTGGTCTTTGTCACAGTATTGCAAAATCGGTTCAATGTGTCTATTTGAAGCAAGACTAAACGTCCTCCTTCTGGAATTGCTATCTCGAGACTCCTGCTCTCCGGGCTCTTGATGGAGCCATGGAAACTGAGTGGTACTGCTCCAGCTCTGGTCTTCTGCAGCAACATACAATGTATTTTACCTCTGACCACCTCCATAGCACCTCTTTATCCAGAGATCTCAAAGCCTTTTAAAAAAAAAAATGGGTAAGCCTTTCCTTAGTGCCTAGATGCTACAATAATATAACAAATTATAGGTGAATTTACGAATAGAGTATGTGGCTGACTTGAACCTGAATTTGGCAACGCAGTGGCCTTTTTTTGTTTCCGGTTGCTAAAAGCTACTTAGAAGCTCATACTGCTTAAGCACTTGGGGGAGGAAGCAAATCTTTGTTCCAACAACAGTTAGTTTCTCATTTTAAGCATTGCAATGCAGTGTGTTGTTAATACCTGAAATTGGAATATGACCACACCTTGCATCCGGCTGAGTGTTGTTCAAACTCTTTGGAGGTAGTCTTGCCCAGGATGCTTTAATAACTTCATGTGAATAATGCTGGTTAGCACTGTGCAATTAAATGTGAGTTGCTGTAGCAATGCTATAAGGATCTTTGGGGTGGGGACCATGTCATATTCCATCATCTTCGTGGAAAGAGTATATGCAGTTCCAAGTGCTTGACATTTTTTTTTCTCTTAACTGTTATCTTTAATTTCTCCTTTCTTCCTCTGTCTCCAATCTCCCCTGTCAACAGAAGGATCAGGTAGGTGAGCAACTTGCCTGTGGTGATAGCCTGCTTGTAGTTCACTTGCTCTTACAGGGCTTGTAGTTCACTTCTTGCTCTATTAGCTGTGTACATGGTGTGACTGTACTCAGTGTTGACAGATACAAGGGATATTTATGTGATTAAAACAGCGAAAGACTATTGACTTCCTCCAGTGGATCAGTCCTAGTTCCAGCTGCAGATACCAGTTTGTGCTACTAAGATTTCAGCTTGATTATGCTTTGCCCAGCAGAGCAGAAAATACGCTTGCTTTCGTACAAGAAGGATAGATGTGGAAAAAGCATGCCGGTGGCTCCCGTCAGCTTCTGGTTTAAAGTCTGGGCTCAAAAGGGCTTGAGTGAAGCTGTCACTGGGTCTTTTCTTGGTTAACCTTTAAATCTAGGACAATGGGATAGATGTTTGGAGTATATGAATTGAAAAGAAGATGCGGGAGGCCTTTAGGCTCCTGCTTCCTAGAGCTATTTGGGCTTTTAATTTAACCAGTCCTGGGAGACCTTGTGTCTGTCACCTCTCTGTGAGAGAACATGTTGTGTGTATGTGGGTGTTGCTGTAACATTAATATCTGGAAGTGCTTCTTATTATGCATGAACCAAAGGGCTTGACTTAAAGGTACTGCCTGGAGTACTCTGAAACAGCACTGTATCTTTGAGATACTGCTTTTGCCTGTGCATGAGGTTTTGGCATGATGTATTAACTGTTCATAAGCCTCTGCTGTAAGAAGCTTGATGCCCTGGTGACAGGGTGGGGTGTGGTGATCTTCTAATTACCCACGGGACCAAAAGTAACTTTTTTTAGCTTAAGTAGACTTTAGGTGGGAAAGTTCAAGTTTTTGTGTATTACTCTATACACATACCTTTCTCGCTTTGTGTGGGTATAATGTGGCCTCCTTAGAGCAGTTTGCCTCATGTCCGACGTTTATTTTTGCATTTAGTAATGTATGTTTCTAAAACCTTTAAGAAAGACTTAGAAAGCCTTTTTAAAGGCTTTGTTTCCATTTGCTGTTTTCCCTCTTACCCTGAAAAGAACACTTGAAATACAGTCACTGCAGATATTTGTAAAAAGGTTTAGGCTTAGTTTTTAACGTGGTTACCTTTTGTTTCTTATAGGCTGTGTTCAGTAATGCGGGAATCTGTTTCTGTTTGCAAAATGTGATGTTACTGGCTGCTTTAAAGAAGGTAGTTTGTGGATGAGAAAAGGAGTCCTTTCTTCTAGGCATTTCTTTCAGCTTTTGGGTGAACTCTGAAGTCAGGATAATTACCTTCTTCTGTGATTACTTAAAGCTTTCAGGGGAGCAGCTTCACGGGTGCAGGTCTAATGTGATGGTGGTGGCCTGTTTTGGTGTTGGTAGTTCTTAAGTCAACTCCTTTGAAGGACTTGAAGCTCATGGTAAATGGGGTTTTTAAATGGATGTGGCCTAACCTCTTCCTCTTTTAAAGGAATTGCTAAATTTCATCTCGTAGTAGTCCTGCCTATAACCGTATCAAATGCTTTGGCAACACTTGAAGTAGAAGTAGTCATAAAACTTCTAGTTGTGTTGGAGCCTTTTAAAACTTTGTTCTCTGTGCCTGCTCGCAGGCTCCATAGAAAGGGCAGCGTGTTCTAGAATTTTAAAAATTGCTTGTACATCTCTTTCCAGCAACCAAAGGACATTTGTGCCATGGTTGGGTTCTGTCCTTCTGTGAAATCTGTTCCCCTTCAGACTCTGGTGCCAGCTCAAGTGGTTCATGAAGTGAAAACGGAAACTGTGGAGGTAGGATGGACTTTTTGTACTTGACAGCTTTGCCTTCCTTCTTGCTTTAGTGTAATGAACTAGGTGAAACAGAAAAATACCAGCTTTTATGTGTAGAATAATCCAAGTCTCCCTGCATATAAATTCCTGGCCCCTTCTTGTTTCTGATGCTGATCTGTGAAGTAGGAGAGCTGGCTGATTTGTTAGAATAGTAGAGCCTAGGCTAAACCGAAGCGATAAGGTAATACTTCAGGATTGAAATGGGAACTCTTGTTCCAGCAGTAGAGTATAGCAGCCATTCTAAATGACACCTCCAATGCTAGAGGGCAAATTGCTGAATTTGAATTTTGCTCTACATTTGGAGTTACGCTTCGATCCCTTTTAAAAATGGGACAGCACTCTGCATGTGCAGATGAGTGATCAGAGTCAGAATGCTGAAGCTCCGAGTTTGGAGAAGCACCTTAGATTCCCGTGGCCTTTGAGTGAGTCATGGGCTGAGGTTTTTTGGAAAGGAACGTCTCTTTTGAAGACAGTTAACTTCTGATTAACAGGGTCCAAACAATTTCGCTCAAGTCCCTCAATTTCTAGGTTTCTTTTGCAAAAAGGGGGGTGCTCTCAATTCTAGGAAATTTCATCCTCCGTTAATGTATTTTAAAAAACACTTCATATTTCCCTTGACTCCAGTCACTGTGGGGCTGCTTATTTCTCCGTGTCTACTAAATTCAACTCCCCTCCTTATACAACCTGGGGATTGTAGTCTTAATTGGTCATACAAAATGACTGTTCATTCAGAAGGGCTTTTTACTGAGACCTTTGAGGTTGGTTTTGGGTTCTGCATGACCTTTTGAATTGAGCTCAAACTGGCCAGCTAGGTAAATGAATTAGTGTGCTGCACCTGAATGTGAATGTTGTTGGACTGATCTTCTACGAATTGTCTGTGCTGATTCACTGTTTTGCGTGTTTCTTCTGTGTACTCAGAAAGCCTCAGTTCAAGAGAAGAGTCTTTCCTTGTGTGAAATATGTGAGACCATGGTGAAAGAAGTGACTGGCCTCTTGGAGAGCAACAAGACAGAGGTGTGTAAGTGGTGGAAACGGTACCTCTTCCTAGGCTTTGGCTAAAATGGGGCTGTATTGGAGGGGGAACGAAAGTTAATTTTATTGCCTGTTTTCATGAGAGCAAGATTTCCATCCTGGGTGGGACGGAGTAAGAAAACATGTACTTATGAATTGAGTCAGATTTCTATTCCTTATTTGCCACGCATCTTTCATTGTGCTTCAGGAGGAGATTGTACATGAAATGGAGGTGATCTGCTACCTATTCCCAGCAAGTGTCAAAGACCAGTGTAAGGACTTCATAGATGTCTATGGCCAGGCTTTGATTGATATGCTCTTGGAGGCAACGAATCCTGAAGCTGTGTGTGTTATGCTGAAATGTTGTGCATCCAACAAGCCTCCACAGCAGCCAGGTTGGTAATGAGGAGTCAGCAGTGTTGCAAAATGAGCTAGTTCACCTATGATTATATCTCTTTTGAGAACATGTGCTTTAGTACTTTGCTGATGCTGCCTCCTTTCTTCTATTTGGGGGAACTACCTAAGCACTGACACTTGTGGGTTTTTTTTTCCTTCTCAGTTTTAGTGAAACCTGCAGGTGGCTTCTGTGATATCTGCAAAATGGTGGTAGCTTATGCAGACAAAGAACTAGAGAAGAATGCCACGACAGCTGAAATTGAAGCTTTACTGGAAAAAGTCTGTCACTTCCTGCCAGAGTCTGTCAGTGATCAGGTAAAGCATATGTGCACGAGACAGGCTAAAAAGCCATGGTCTTGCTGATGGTTGGGAACCGTCCTTGTTGATTTGTTGGGTTTATATAGGTCCTACAGTGACAGTTATGCTTACCTCATTTTCTGAGTGTTTCACCTGATATTCTGTCTACATACTAATTTTAGGTCCATCTCTCAAGTGTCTCTACTTCTGCTATAAATGTCCAGGTACTCATAATAGAGGTCTCTGTGTTTGGCCAACTGCCTTGGTCTCTGGCTGGAGACAAACTGTCCACAGGTGCAGCTGGGACTGGCTTGTGTCCAGCAACCTGATCCGTCCTAGGTTTTTCCCTTTACTAGTTAGCACCAAAGCATAGCAGCTTTTCATGTGCAGCAGAGCAAAAAAGAAGGGAGCAGGCTTGAACTGAGGCAGTCAAATGACCACACAGGCCTTGCCGTGTGGCAGCCTGCCTTCCAGTCAGAACACGGCAGATAAAGGTGAACAGAAGGACGAGACATCTTGCAGAGTATTCAGAAAAACTAGTGAGCAGCATCTCATGATGGTTTTTGTAAGAGTAGTCAGCGTAACGCAGGTCAGAGTTGAAGGAGTCTCTCCCTCTGCTAGAGGCTGAAAGGAGTTTGGGATGCCGGGGGGATTAGGTTGTTGCACTCCCCATCCGTGAGGGTTGACAGTCCTTTGAATAGATGGAGACTTTTAAGGGCCTGAATTGGCTGGCTGGATTGTTGTACTAATTTGCAGTCCATAAAGGTTTGCCTGGAAATCCTCTGAGAACAGTGGGTGGGAACAGCTGAAGGTTTTTTTTTTTTTCCCTCAACACTGATCCTGTTCAGGGGATTAACAAAGTAATTGGAAGTAGGCTGGCATAATTCCAGTGAGACAGCGAAAAGCAACACCTGTTAGACCACTGCTATCAAGATTTACCTGGAAATCTTATTAAGTGGTTGCTGAGTGTCAGCAAGTGGCAACTGCTTGTAAGTTTACTAGGCATACAGTATACAGGCTTAAAGCAGCTGTGAAATGGCTATCCCTGCTAACCGCTCTGAGGCGGTTTAATGGCTGTGGTTCGCTTATTAATCGGTGCCGTTAGTCTCTGCTGAGAACGTCAACATCTTTCTGTGCTCTGGAGATGGCCTTTCCACTAGAGGGCTGACTGTTCTCGATGGGAAACATTTGTGCTGCTCCTGGTCTGAAGTCAAGAATAAGTACTTGGGCTAAAAGTGCTTAAGAGTCATTAATGTGTTGCTGCCATCCTGTTCAGGATGTTTGTCTCCAGCTTGTTCAGTGTGCTTTCCTCTTGAGACAGCAGTGATCTCCATGACTAGAGACTAAGCTTTGCAAGTCAAAGCCTCTCCTGCTTGGTTCTTTTCCCAAAGCCTGTCCTGCTTGGTTCCTTTCCTTTTCACCCCTTTCTCATCATAACCTGTCTGCAGACAGCTGCAGGCAGGTATGAGCTAACAAAAAATGATCTAATTGTGTGATTAGTGCAATGCTGAGTCCTTTTCAGTCTGCAGAGCTCAAGCCTCTAGTTTATCAGTTTGGGGTGTATTTTGGGGGTGTTTGGAGTAGTGTACGGGCCTGCCTGCTGAAGACCCTATCTTCCTTCTTCTAAGGCTTTAACACGAGAATCTGTCAACCTGTGTTTTGTTACAGTGTGTTCAGTTTGTGGAACAGTATGAACCCGTAGTTGTGCAACTCTTGGCAGAGATGATGGATCCCACTTTTGTTTGCACTGTGAGTATTGTGTTTAGTTCTGTTGAGTTCGGGCTCCGATACAGTCCTGCCTATTCTTCTGTACGCCTTTCAGTGCCTAGCATGCAGAAACTCTGCTGGAATAAAAATCAGCACACTGAATGCTTGGAGCAAATGCGGTTGTGCAAGGCCTCAGGCTTACTGAATGGACAGCTGTCTGACTGCCAGCCTTGTGCAAGAAGGGTAGAAGAAAAGAGCTGCCAGCGGTTAGCCGCTGTTGAGGTTCAGTAACAAGGTGTAGTGTGCCCTGAATGTGATGAGAGGAAGTCAAATGACATTTCTTGAGAAGGGTCCCTTTCTAGAAGCTCTGTTTCTTGAAACTTAATATGAAGAAGCAGTTGCGGTAACTTAATTCTTCCTCGTGTCAGATTACTGCTTCATGTCTACTCGTTCAGCTGCAAGTGTCACTGCAGTTGTCAGTTGAGCATGGTACTGTGGGAGCTCCTGAAGGTCAGGTGGAAGCTCAGACGTAAGGCTGGAGTTGAGATCTCGTGGTGCGGATAGAAAGATGCTGACTCTGCTGCTGTTCTTTTCACAGAAACTTGGAGTCTGTGGATCAGCTAAACAGCCTCTCCTGGGGGATGATGCTTGTGTCTGGGGTCCAGGTTACTGGTGTAAGAACATGGAGACTGCTGCTCAGTGCAATGTACGTAATGCAGGATTCTGCCTCAAGTTTCCTATTGGTCTTTGATAGCTCCTTATATGCTACTTTTCCAGCTCCTATACCACACTTTCAAGTGGATGAATTCCAGTTTCAGGAAGCAAAAGGGTACTAGCTAGATGTGGTTGAGTTTGATTAGAGGGTCTTCCATAGCCCTTAGCTTTCTTAAAGCAGACTGTTTCCTCTCCCTTCCGTTCCTATCCCCTACCCCTCTGCTAGCATTTCAGAATCTATAGTAAGGTACAGTGTGAGCTTTATACTTAGTCTGTGATCACGCAGCCAACAGACTACATCACGACCTCTCATCAGGCTCTAAAAATTGGCTTCCAGTATTGCTGTGGGCTGATGCTTTCTTTGCCAGGCGTTAATGGCTAAGGGTCATCAGCATTCTTTCCTGAAGCTTCTGGGTGGGGACGAGGTTGTTATTTATTCTAGTCCTCTCTGGAATCACTTATTTTAAGAAAAACAGATTGCTCCCAAGGTCTTGGCTCAGAATAAGGCATTGAATTGTATGCGTAGATGCATGCTCGTTTGCAAACAGGCTTTTTTCCACTAACATACACTATTTATTTCCCTTTAGGCTGTTGATCACTGCAAACGTCATGTGTGGAACTAGAAGAAGAATTTCCAGTTCTGAAAGTTTGCCGTGGCTCTTAAAAATGTGGGCCGAGGTTGGCGGAGAGCTGTATCTCAAATGTCCCTCCTCTCTGCCTCATTAACAATTTGACCTTCAGGTTCCTTTAGCAGTTCTGTAGCAGTGCTGCTGTTGAAGGATCAGATCTTCATTGTTGACTTAACAAAGATACTTCTGATTGTACAGTTTAACTCATTACGCTCCTAAAAATAGTCAGTGTGTTGTAGATTTTTAATTGATAGGCTGAAGTGTTTTTTTTTTTTAGGTGCTGGGAAGAATGGCAGAGAAGGTGAAATGAGACAAGACTATTATCTTTTAATTTAAAAAAAGAACAAGATAGCGGCTAAACTTTCAAATGTCTTTCTGTAGTCAGCATTGGGAAGATTACATGCTTTGCATTTTTAACATCTGGCTGGAATATTAATTTTCCGTGTAATTGTGGGAGAACTTTAAGGGATAATGTTCAATCTGGGAATCCCTTCGGCTGGAATTTTCAAAGCTCTACAGATGCAGAGGAGGGGACTTTGTATGCCCAGCTAACTTTCGTCAAAGTAACTGGTACCTAAAAAGATACATTTGCATTTGAGTGACCGCGCTTTTGCATTTGAGTGACCACACTTACGGCTCCTGGTGTTATCATAGCTAAGGAAACCCTCCCTCAACCCTGGATCACGTCCTTTTTATTTCCTTGGACTACTTGGTCTAAGCATGGGTGTTCTACTGTCAAGCCCTGTACAGTGGGATTTCAGTCTTTTGACGCATGCTGGCGTACGTAAAGAATGGCTCCCTTTTTTCTTATCCTAGTTGCTCAATTCTGCTTAGTCTTGCAGCGTCCTACAGGCAGCCAGCTGGGTGCCAAGGAGGTGGAGCGAGCTGCGTCGGTAGAAGATGGAGGGGAAGAAGTCAGCAGGGGCTGTGCATATGTCAAAGTGAGTTCAGCACAGAGGGTAGAACACATGGAAAAATGGTTTTTATTGTAAACTACTGTTTTTTTCCTTGATCTGTTTTTCTCTCATAGCATATTTCAGTCATCTAAAACTTCAGAGGCGCTGTGAGGCTCGTGGGCAGTTTCCATTGCTGCCACCCGTTCTCACTGACACTTGCCCTTCTGAGTAGTTTGAAGTATAAATTTTTTTTCCAGAGTTCCCATTTCTGTTGGGAAACGCGTCTGAGTAGCAAGCGGAGATGGCAGATGGTAAGAGCACTGTAGTAGGTATTTGGCAGCTCTGCTGGCATACCTGACAACGCCTCTGCAGCATCCCACTGAAATGGCCTGAACTTCTGAACAAAAGCCTTTCAAGGCAGGCTGCTACCCTGGAAGCAAGTCAGGCCCTTGAGGTGTAGGGGCCTCGAGAACGAGAATCATGCTTATGTTGCTTGAGACGGACCTTGCATCCCCTACCAGCATTTAGTGCATAGTTCTGATCAAGTTAACCCCAAAAATAGGCACCAAAGTAGCTCTGAGGAGACCTTTGGGAAGGAGGAGCTGGGCAGAGGGGGAGCTTTGAAAATTCCAGTCCTGTTCAGAAAGGTGCCGGCAACTGCTACTGTTTCCTGTGGTGTCTTGGGTGAGGCAGGGGCTCCAGTAACAACGCTTTAGCAGCAAGCAAAGTAATTTTCATGCGGTTTAATGGAAAACCACTCGACTGCAGCTTTTTTGTTACTACGTTTACATACTAAATGTCTGGGCAGTGTTGACAGATAGCAATACCGGTTTGTCTTTCCTGTTTGCATTTGTACAGAACGCTGAAGCACTCATGGCTTTAAAAAAAAGAAAAATAATTTCCCCTAAACATGTAAAATACCTGCAGCTTTCTGTCTTAGCAGCCTTGTGCAGAGGTTCCAGCGGTGTATCGCAGTTGGGGTAGATAGGCCAGATAGGAAATGGGCTCTCTTCAGCGTTGCCGCCCTGGAGGTACGGGTTGTGTTACACCACGGCATGTAGTATGGTATTTGATCTTTTAAATTGGACGGCATTCTCTTAACGTGATTTTTTTGGAGTGGAGGTGGGGATGGATTGACACTTACTCTTACAGGTTGGCAAGGTTTTAATTTTCTTGGGTTTTTAGTAGTGAAGGACTCATGCTAGGGACCTGTCGGGCGGGGTGAACCGGGGGGAAATCCTGTGCTAGCGCTGGGAGTCTCTTGAGTTTTCTCCCTTCCTGTGGACTGTGGCACCTGACCTGCCTGAGTTACGCTGGGGGGGCACGTGCAGTTGCTTTCTGAAGAACATTGTCCTGATTTTTGCACAGAAGCTTCCTTAATGAACAATAAAAACTTCTGTAAACCGGTAAGTTTATGTGTTTCATTTCCTTGTTGTGTGCTAGTTGCTGAAGGATCTTGTTAGCTTCCTCTGCAGAGCTGGGAGAAGGCATGTCCCAAAATGTCACTGGGAATCTGGGGCTGAATGGCAGGATTCAGGTTCCCATTGAGTTGCCATCGCCTTGCAACATGCGTGTCCCATCAAGCCTTTGTTATATTAAAGGCAGTTGCAGGTTACAGAGGCTTGCCAGGGATTGCCGCTGCTGCTCTCTTCCCGGGACAAATGCAATGCCTGATGTGAGGCAACAGCCCCGTGTTGCAATTTCTCTGCCTTGCGCAGGCTGGAGGGATTTCTTGCTGAAGCTGCTTGATATCAGGCTTCAGTGCTGACTTGCGTTTAATGTGGCTTTCCTTTTGTCTTCATTCCTTGCTTTATTTTGAATAAAATGTCTTTTAAATGCTTTAAGCAAACTACTTGGCTGCCTCTAAATACACCATTAATTCTCTCGTCCTAAATTTACTGGTCTTTAATACCTGCGCTGCTGACCTTTTTGTAAGGGATGACGCTCTAGTGAGTGAAGAGCACAGAAAATCGCTACATCAATGGTGCTAGGACAGTTTTCCCCTGCCATGCCCACCCTGTGCAGCCAGGAGTGACAAGGTTAGCATTGAGGAGCAGGTTCTGGGATGGTTTTGACTTCCCGGGAATACCTGCCTGGCTCTGGTCCCTCCCTCCACTTGCAGGCTGGTGATGATTTTATAATCAAGGCGTAAGGAGAGGGGTGTGGTAATTGCCCTGCGTAGGTGTGGGTTCTCACTACTTCTCCCAACCCATCCAAGATTCCTCAGTCTGGGAGCAGCACGGGAGAGGAACCAGCCACTGAGGACTATCTTAGGAACGGCATGGAGAGCAAATGGAGTGGCTGGGTGCTGATCCTTTCTGTGTGCCTGGGCTCCTACCAAGGTAAGGCCAGGCCTGGGGGTAGGACTCGAGGAGAGCCCGGAAAACCCTTCTCCGCTCCAAAACTATTCCCAGCTATAGTGTTTAAGCTCCATGGTGTGCTTCCTCGTTCTCTGTGGTTTTGGAGTTACGCCAGAGGAGAACTGGGGCAGGCGGCAGCACCCCCTGCTTTACCTCTTGCCCACCTGGATGTGAGCGTTGCAACTTCTGCCCTTAAAGATGATCTCGGGGCAAAAAGCGGTTTGCTCCCTCCCTTCTCCGGACAGCAGGGATTCGGACGGAGCCGGTGTCTTGCTGGGGTGTGGAAGGAGGGAGGCCAGTTGATGGGGCGTCACAGCAGCGACGGGGGAGAGGGCCGCTTCGTCTGTTGCCCTTGGCATTGGGACCGGGCTGCGTACCTGCCATTTGGGGGAAACTGCTTTCTTGTCCTTGCACAACGGAGTGACCGTGGTGCTACTTGATGCTGCCCCTTTCCTTAGGGACCTCCTAAGAGGTGCAGGAGGCAGGAAACCTCTTCCCCTGTGGCTTGCCGAGCTCTGGGTAGGGTGATGGGGTGCAGTGCTGCAGCCCTGAGCGCACTTTTGGAGACCTCTCGTCGCTGGGGCTTTGGGTATCTGTGAGCAAATCCTACCTGCGGATGAGCTTATGCTGCTGTCCCCTCGGTATCCCCCCGATAAGAATGGGGGAAAGTGATAACTGGCTCATCCACAGCAAACAAGTTGGGAAGAGCCTGTTTCTGACCCCGGTCCTTGCTTGAGGGGAAATCACTTATTCCAGAGGAATTTTCCCTGGGGAAGCCACAGATCCCTGCTGTTGTAGGCAAAAAAAAAAACCCTTTTAGAGAGAAGAACCCCTTTTGCGCCCTAATTACCCCAGGCTCGGCCCATCCGTCTCCTCCAACATGACCTGCCCAGGCACCGGCTTTGCGGTGGAGGAGTCGTGACTGCGCACGCATGGCCTGATGGTGGGGGAGGACATGCCGAGGTCCCCCAGCCAGCAACAGGCAGAGCAGGAAAGTTCACCCGTGCTCGGCACGTCCGTCCTTCGGGCGACGCCTGCCCTGGAAGCCGGCGGCTGCTCCTGCGGCGGCAGCTTGGCTGCACAGCACGGGGTGGCTGCGGGGGGCT